CCGCGAAAATTTGACAGGCAACTTTATTTAAACGCTTGAAATATTCACATCTATATCTAACGTTTCCGAAAGCTTGAAATTGTGACACGTGCGATCTGTTTTTTTTTTTTTTTAAATAATAATAGTTTTGTACCTGTAATGAGAAAAATTTCAATTTTTCGTAATCGATGTTAAATGGCGATAGGTATAATTGATAGATGGATATAATTGAGTCTATTTATTATTCTAGTTAACGCGATAGACTTTTCATCTCTTCATAATAGACACATTCATTAATGATAAATGAAATAAATATCTTGATAAATTTGCTCGATGGAGCAAGAGGAAATGGGAAAAACGGAATAGATGCGGCTTAGTCGTTTGCAAAAATGAGAGCGACCGCGACGCTAATCCCGACTTGGAAACCATGCCTGTCGACGAGAAGCGAATTTACGATTTCCCACTTGGCTCTCTCGTCGGACGTGTGCGTGGTGTCTCTCGAAAATGCCAGCCCGCAGGCAGGTAGGTAGGTAGGCAGGCAGCGAGGGGAATATCGGACTGGGCCGCATTCCCGAAAAGCATTTGGCGACGTCGGAGAGAGCGGCTCGATATTCGGGGTGCGGTTCCTAGGTCCGTAGGTCCTGGGTTTGCGTGAGCAAGGGAGCAAAGCGTGGGCAGAGAGCGTGAGAAAGAGAGAGAGAGAGAGAGAGAGAAAGTGGAGCGGCCGAGAGAGAAACGAGGAATAGCGAAGGGACCGAAGGGGGGTAGAGGGGAGGAAGATAGGAAAAGAGAACAGGAAACGAGAAAGGAAGGGAGAGAGGAGAGACGGCGATGCGACCGTTGGAAAGAGTAGATACGTGCGTGTTACTTGGTACGCTAGATATATACGTGCGTGCAGGGAGAGAGAGACACGTGGGTGTATACGTGTACGTGCGTGCGTGTGTGCGGTATGTCGTAACCAGTGGAAGAGGGTCGAAGAGGCAGCGTGGCGAGAGAGGACCGGGGGAGGAGGGGGGGGTGGAGGACGAGGCGGCGAAGAGCGACGGGCGGAGGGCGGGGGTGGCAGTCGGTCGGTCGGTAGGTGGCTGGAGTGGGCGGGTGAGGCGGATTGCACGCGTTGTGCAGTGCGGTTAACGGCGTGTGCGTTGCGCCGACGGCCAACGACGCTGCTTTTCGAAAAGGGTAGAGAGGGCGGAGAGGCTGAAGGGTAAAGGGTGAAACGGGAAAAGGTGGAGGGTGTGGGTGGCAGCGCCAACGGTAGCAGCTATACCAGAAGCACCAGCGTCAGCGTCAGCAGCACGACGTGAAAGCACGGAGGACGAAACTCGCGAGAAGGAGCGACCGAGAGAAACAGAGATAGAGGGAAAGAGAGAGACGGTGAGGAGGACAGGAAGAGAGAGAGAAAGAGAGAGAGAGAGGGAGAGACTACCGAACGAGTAAGATAGGACGGCGACGGAAGAGAAGAGCGGAGCAGAGCAGAGAAGAGAAGAGAGAAGGAAGGAAGGAAGGAAGGAAGGACGCGGGCGTCTCGGCGTTCTGGCAGACGAACGCATCGATCCCAGGCGGGTCAAGCACGGAATCTGTCTCTGTCTCCCTCTTTCTCTTTCGATCCTCGTCCACGCCTCCGTGCGTCTCGCGCGTCGCAGCCGCTCTTCCTATTTCTCTTTCGCCCCCGCGCGCGCGCGGCCCTCTCCTCATCACTCTCCATGGGCCGCCACCGGAGCCTCTCTCCCCCTCCCCCTCCTCCTCCTCCTCCTCCTCGCTGCACTCTTCTTGCTACCGAGAACCGCGGCCCACCGCCTTCTTCCTCATCCACCCTGCCCGAACTCTCTCCCCCGCGCCTCTTTGCCTCAAGCCGCCCTTCTCGCCGTTACTACGCGCTCGCCCCCGCCAGACAAAGACAAATTACGCTGCATTTTCAGAACCCCAAAGAGCTCCAACGTCCTACGCCACTTCCCACCCCCGCTTCCCTCTGCTCGCACCACCTCCGCCCTCGATCCTCGTCTACCTCCTTCCACGGAACTTGCCTCCTACGTCGCCCGACCATCCTCGCGCCACTTTCCTCGTCTCTGCCCAGACCACCCCCCTCCCGCCCCCCCGCGGCCTCCGAGACTCTCCGCTATGTAGGGCATCAAATGGGTGCTCAACCCCTACGCACTCCGGGAGAGCGTCTTGTACGAGAACGACGAGCTGGCTCTTTTGACTCCCCCTTCAACCTCCTCGGCGCTCCGATCACCCGCCTCCCCCTCTCGTCGCTCGCCGTCGAACGTGCATACCGATTACGATGATAATAGTAGATAAGCCCGGCGTGACGTCAAAGTTGAGCATTCCGGTAAAGCGGTAGCAGCGCAGCTACCACCCCCGCATATTTCCTGTGGGAGGAAATTATCAAATGGAAAGGTCGCCCTTGCAATAAGATGTCTTTTACGAGTTCCGCGCTTTTCCCGCTTTATACCGGCGGTGCCCTTCGTATCGGCGTTTCGCCTTCGCTTCGATAAAGATATTTCTCTCGAACTTTCTAAACACGCGTTAGCGAGAAGCGTCGCAAAGATAATATACATCTAAATCGTGTAAAACTGAATTTATACGACAGTTTTACGAAAAGTTGTGCGAATGTAGAGAGTGCGAAAGAGAAAATGTTTTTTATGAAAAATAAATTATTTAATATTCTTATGAATTATTTAAAATTTTTATTCTAATAAATTATTTAAAATTCTTATATAAAATACATTTTTTATATAATTTTATTTACGTAAAAGAACTTGAGTGTAAATTTAATAGCTAAATTAATCTAACATTTTCAAACATTTTAATATTAAATGATATATTTCGTAAAAAACCTCTTTCCTTGTCATTATAAAGTAGTATTATATTTATAATTATTTACCAGTTGATAATTAAGTAGAGAGAGAGAGAGAGAGAGAGAAAGCTCATAGACAACTTTTAGTGCGCAATTGATTAGCCGAATGATCCAAGATGGAGAATTATCTCCGCGATCGAATGTCCATGACACGACGTTGCGGTTCTTCCTCTCATCGGGCAAGTTCCGTGATTAACATAGCAGATGCAGTTCTCGCGAGTTTGCGCGGCGATTAATCTTCTTCCGCACGTAGTTGGTAAAGATAAAACTTTCGAGCAAGTTACTCGCTGAGAACCGCTGAAGAGCTAGATCAATTACACGGAGACCACCCTCGATCTTTCGCAATATTTTATCGCCGCTAATCATCCCGTGTATATTCTGTTTGCACTTTGCCCGCTTACTTTGTAAAAGTATATGCATTCGATTATATGCTCGCTCTCGTCATAGCGGATCGATCAGAGTTCTCAACACGCGTGGAATCCACGTGGTAGCGAGTGCCCGTTTAAATGAATTACGAGCAGCTCAACCATTATTATCGGCTGAAAAAATTTCCGTAGGAAATATGGCGGAGAGAGAGACTCGCCTTCGCTTTTTTCTTCTTCTTTTCTTTTTTTTTTATTTTTCCCAACCGCGGTTTCCGCCGCGAAACTTTGCACTCTGTGCATACTGATAATGCTTAAAGAGCGCGCTACCGGGCACGCGATTAAGGAAGTTGGATGGTCCCTCGTGGGAAGGACCGCGGTGTTTCCGGCAGAAAAATTTCAGTAATGAAAGCCAAGAAAAAGCGGGTCGAAGTGTGTTAATTAAACATTCCTGGCGGGAGCAAAGAGCGGGTTGGTGGAAGCGGTTGGTCAGGAGCGCCCCACTGAGACGCGAGAGACGCTTGTAAAGCATCATTCCGTAAACAAAAACGAACGCGAACTGCGGTGGAACCGCATTTTAGTTATTCGCGGCAAAAGTATTGGATAATTTGAACATCTTTGTTTCTTGATATGATTTATCAGAAAATAAATTGTGCGGATATAACATCGCGATAGTGTTAAAAAGTATCGCCACAAAATAAGAAGTTACGCATTATTTTGCTTTACGGTATTATTTTCTTAATTATTTCAATACTATATTAGTTTAGTAAAATTATTTTATATATATGTATATATATTTTAAACAATTGGTCGAATAATTACTTGAACAAATGCAACGAGAGAGATAATTTAAATCAATAAATCCACTTATCCGTGATATCATTCTCGATGATATTAACGCCCGAAGTGTTATATTTAATACACAGAAAATCGAGCATCTCGAACGACGCGCGCGCGAGCAAGCATTTTAATCTCTTAATAATCCTGGTCTAATCACATTGTCACTTGTGGAAAATACCGAGTTACGTTATTAGGAACAATATGCTTACGGGCAACTGTTTGCCTCGCGGAAACTTGCCTCTAACTAGTTTGGAAGGTGCCACTGGAGGATAGTAATCGTTGATCCGCACGGGATAGCATACACGTCAGGGCATACGGGAAAAATTCCCGGCGCTCTCGTACTAATCACAACTGTCGCTGGAAGCGTCGCATTCATTCCGCCGCTATGAATCTACGCGTTATTTTGATGGCGAAACACATCCAAAACGCCGACGCGCGTGTAAATAAACGACACCGTGGAGAGATGTCGGCCGAAATTATATTTTTTTAGCCGGTACCATGGAAATTTGTTCAAACATAGGCGAGTCTCGCAAACGATCAATGTTAATAACTATATCATTAGTTTTGTTGCGATTGATTTATTTCGGTTTTGAGATTAAATCAAGTTGAAATTTAATATTTATCCTTCCGTCATGTATATTTGAAAAATATCGCTTCGACAATTGGCGCTATTCTTAAATTTTGTGGAGCGATGTACAAAATCAAAAAACTGATGATTTTCGAAGAATTAAATATCTTGTATTTATACTTATATCGCGCTTACATCATTATTAAACTTTGCTTTGCCTTAAAGTTTTGTCAAATTGACAGCCACAAGTTAAAAGTGATAATTTTATCGGTATCGGAATGTTTTGCGATCGTTGGAGGCACTGAATGTAGATTCTCCTTTCACATCCGATAGCCGAAGAAAGCATTAAGATTTCGCGCGGATTGGCCCGAGTTGGGGATTGCTGCGGGAAATGTGGACGACATCAATGAGGAGGACGAGATGTACGCGTGTGTATGCGTCGCTTCGAAGAGGGTTGGATGCGCGGAAGGGAAGAGGGTGGTTCGAGAGGCCGAAGGATGGAGGCGAGAGGACGAGAAACAGTAGGTGGAAGCAAAGGACGGCGGTAGGTAGCAGTGGCTGGCAGGTCGAGGGTGGCAAAGGAGTAACGGCAGCGGCAAGCAGCAGCGGCGGTGGTGGTAGTAGTAGTAGTAGCAACAGCAGCGGCAGCGGTAGTAGTAGTAATAGTAATAGTAGTAATAGTAGTAGTAAGAGGAGGTGGAGAAGGAAGAGGCAGCGGAGAAAGAGGAGGAGAAGGAGGAAGCGGAGAGCGAAGGAGCAGGAGGAGAAGGGCGGTCGGTTGAGACGCAGGAGGTGCAGGCGAAGGAGAGCGAGTCCGGTGGGTTGGGTTGGGTTGGTTTGCACCAGCACCACACCAGCACCGACATGGTTCCAAGCGAAGGAGAGGATGGGGTAGGATGGCCGGGCCTCTGCTCGCTCGATAGAGGCGCGTCCCGTCGTCCCATGATTGGAAACCAAATCGCCGCACATCCATCCCCCTCCTCATGCCATCGCTGCCGCTGCCTCACCCTTCGCTTCCGCGATTCTCCGCCACCCCGCCCCCCCCCCCGGGAATCCCCCGACCGTCAACCATTCACCCTTACTCTCGGCCTTCGCAACCCTATCCAGAGCTTACTCCCTCGGAGAGAACGAGTCTCTCTCGTTCTCCGTCTCTCTCGTTTTCTGCAACTCTCTTCGGCTCTCCAGCTGTCTCTCCTTCTCTCTCGCTCCTTCTCGTCGGTTTAACTTCGGCTTCCTTCCTTCTTCCTCCGACAACTGGCGCTTCCACATCCACATCGTCGACGTCCACATCCACCGCTGCTGCTTACCGCCCGCCGCCCACCTCCCCCAGGGACGCTAATGTCGAGCTAAGTCCTTAAAACCCCTCAGCCGGAGGCCGGCGAGCCCGCAGACCGGAATGGCCTCCATAAGTAACCGGGTTTACACACCCCAAGACCCTATTTCTCACCGTGGAAAAACTGCAGTCGGCTCCGTTGCAAACGCTTCCCTCCGCCCTTTCCACCCCGCCCCATCGCGTAGCTCGAACATCCCGTGCTTAGTTCGCCGATGTTGGATTGCAACTTCCGCCGGATGGTCCCGGCGTATCGACGGCTCTCGAGGAAGATTAGGAAGATGAGCCCTGTGAAAAACGCGCTGGATCTTCCCTGCGGAGTACTCTGGCTGCCGAGTAATTTCCAAGCGGACTTGGAAAAGACTCGCGACTCTTGTTGGTCGCGCGTTCAACATTTTCCACTTGCGATTCGTCGTGTTTTGTTTAACGTCGCATTTATATTCATATTTTTTGCGACAAAAAAAAACACATATTTGTACGTATATATGCGGTAAAACTAAATAATTGCGTAAAACAGTGCGTCCGCGCGTACATTAATTTTTCAAAACGATATATTTTTTGAACGATACAAATATCCATACGCGTAGAAATATGTTAATTGTATACAGGGTGTCCCAGTTATCTTCCGTCTTTCAAAGACAGATTCCTGGGATCATCCGAAGACGATTTTTCCTCAACGAAAATGTCGAGGCACTAATAATTTTCGAATTATAAGTGATTGGAAATGAGGGATTTTTCGTAAACTAAGCTTTGTAGAAATAAAATATTAACAAAATCACATTCTTTGATTAATTTTAAATAGAGTTTACTCTAGTTGAGTTTTAATTTAAGTCTTAATTGCAAAGATATATGACGACAAAAATCGGGAACATGCAAAAAATGATGGCCTTCATTGACATTTTGAGGAAAAATCGTCTTCAAACGATCCCAGGAATGTCTTTGGAAGATGACGGAAGATAACTGGGACACCCTGTATACATATAAATAATATATATATATTTCTATATACATTTAAATTAATATTAAAATTTGGAAAAGATCGCGCAATCTTTTTTTCCAGGGCGCGCGGCGTCATTTCGATGACCGCGTTGCTTGATTTCCGATTAATTAGCGGCAATCGGTGATCAGTTGGAAAGAACATACGATAATGGAAGTTGACGGCGACGGGTTGTACAACGTTGTATATGGTAATGGGTTGACTTAATGGCTGGATGGTAAATGGGACGGCGTGCCGCTGCGCGCGAATGGGATATTTCTAACGATATCGAGGGTGCAAGTGCTGTCCCACCTCGCGGCGAAACTTTGCCACGGTGACGCCGGGGTACTTTCACTTTTGCTCGTAATGTTTATGCAGAACAGCGAGGAAACTTTCTTGAGGTGGTGGAGAGGCGCTCTAGTAACTGCCGTCAATGTTGTATGCACCGGAGGGGGCGCGCAAAAGTGACGATGTAGTATACGGAGTGCACGAAAGTTGGAATCGAATATCCGTAACGCAGGTGAGATATTAAATTGACGAGTGACGAACAACTATCGGCGCCTTTCCCGCCTCCCCCTCCTCCCTCCGCTTTTCCGATAGTTTTGCCGCGGAATTCTTGCTCGACCAGCAACTGCGGAGATTTTACGAGAAAATAAAGGCAAAAACGCGAGCGCCATTAATGCGATGGATACATTGTCGATGCATTAATTTATCGCCGGATCATCGTGCCACGGTAATTTTTTTAAGCGTCCGAGTGATTAAAACTTCATTAAGGAATTACGCTAAAGGCGAATTGCTCTAGTTTACTCCCGGTGAAAAATACTGTAATGAGCCGCGAAGCATATTTATGATTGTGCTTTCTCTCGAAGCGTTAATTATTTCCGATACTTAAGCGCGGATTATCCCCGCTTGATTTCTTTTCTATGCAACGAGGATGGACGGTGAAAGATGCAAGTGAGAAAGAAAACAACGTATAAAACATTAACTCGAGAGATATTTATTAAAACGTGTTTTTTGCGTTTATATTACATTCATTATTTCTTGAAGAGAGCTTTAAAAATGGTGTATTTCTTCAAGATTTTTCATTGAAAAATCTCAAAAATTCAATGATGAATTCATAGATAGTAATATAAGGTTCTCGATGCATTTTGCGATATAAAAATCAATCTTTATTTTATCGCGCGAATCGAGAAATGTTTTTCAACCATCTGATATATTATCAACGTCATTTCGAATAGTATCCGCTCTCGTTTATTCGACTTGTCCCTTCGTATTTATGCGACATGGTTCGAAGGGGATTCTCTTTAAGGAGACGCGATACCAATATGTCCGTCGTCGTTAGTGACGTTGCCGGATGAGCGAGCAGCTAGAGAGAAACCCTCTCTTGCTCCCTCTTTCCCCCTTCCTCTCGACGATGAAGACGACGACGACGACGACGCTGAATGCCCAGAGGCCCGAAGGATATGAGAGTCGCTCAGGCCGCAGGATTCTGCGGGGGTAGTCGGGGGCCACCACACGACGGAACGCGTCTACCTTCGGCAAAGTGTATTGACGGCTGCAGCTACGCGGCCAACACATAGCCAACCAAGATGACGACGACGACGACGTCCCTTCTCTCTTCTCTCCTTGGCCGAGAGAATCTTCTCTGCGCGCTCGAATCTCGGATACGCCGCTCTGAATACGTGCGCGTGCGTGTCTCTGTGTACGTGAACATGCGCATACACACGCACAGGCACAGGCACAAGCACGTACGTATATATACGTCGCTCTCTCGTCTAGGTAGGTAGGTCGAACTTGGGGCTCACGGAGTGGAATTACGTCACGCTACGCTGGAGGATAGGGCACGGCAAAGTGGAGATAGGACGGGTCAAGACGCCCGCTATCGTCTCGGATGGCTTCGGAAGGGTTAAAGCGCTGTCGTGACCTCCTTCCTGCCTGTCTTCCCCGCTTGTCGAGCGGAAACTTTGTCTCGGAGCGCCGAAGGGGCGAATAAGGGCGAAGCTCGATAAATTAGTTCGCGCGAAGAACGGCCTCTCTCTCTCTCGCTCTCTCGCGTATGTCTTTTTTCTCTCTTTCTCTCTCTTTTTTTTTTTCAACCGAGATTTTCCCCGGCCATTCCGCTTCTCCCTATTTATATTCTTCCGGCTTGATCGCGTGCGCATTCGCGAAAGTATTTGTACGTCACAGATCGATAACGATCTTTAATAAGTCCGATAATCGACCGCGTTGTGGCGCGCCATAGAGTTGCCGCGTCTAATTAAAGTTAACGAATTCCTCTCGGCATCAAATATCTGCCGGTCGGTTCAACCTCCGCCCGATTAATTGCCCCGAATTACAGCGAAAGATTTTTCGCGGTTGTTTCACGTTTCTATCGGATCAGCATCGGTTTGATCGCTTAGTATTTAAGCCGCAAATAGAATTATTTGCGGCTCGGAATTTTCCTAAAAAAATTGTAGGAAATTTTTTTTTAATTACATTTACGAATCTCTCATTTACCTCTCAATTTACGTCTCATCGATTTTTAAAACAATCACCATGGGCATAATTATGCAACATTGGAATTTTTACAGTATAAAATAATATTTATTCTCAATTCTTCTTTTGCAATAGAAACTGATTCTTTTATATTTTTTAAATTACAATTATTAATCCGGACACTCTTTTAAAATTTTTATTCGCCGTCTAGACAAAAATAAGCTAAAAATAAGCAAATAAATTTCGTTTAATTACATGATATTTAAACATAGGAAATGTGAAATTTTGAAACACGATTCTTTGATAAAAAATCGCGAGATGGATATCGACTTTCTCGACAGTGAACAGTAACGCAGCACGCTGTGATGAGACGTTAAAGGAAGGGGAAGAGAGCGGAGGAAGAGGAGGAGGAGGAGGAGGAGGGTGAACGAGGGGTTGGGTCGCGACAAAAGTGTGTTTCTGTGGCACGAGGGGCGACATTTCGTCGCCCCTTTAGCCCGCCCAACGTCAGGCAGTGAGGCAGGTTAGGGTCTCTCTGTCTGGTAGGGCGGTAGGACGAGTCTGAGTTGGAGTATAGGGGGTTTTACGACCCTCGACTCTCGCGTCGAGGTGGATGGGGTTCCCCCTTTGACTGGCTCCCTTCTCCAGCGGCACTCAGTACCGCGTGTTCCGTTGAGGTAGATCATGTCGGTCTCCATTATTATATCACGCGGTTGATGTAAATCGCTGCCGAGGGAGGAAAGTTGAAGACTAGAACATGACGCGAGTAAGAAGAGCTGGAAGCGTAAGAAGGGCTCCAAGTAGCGATCACGATCGCGCATCTCGCGAAAGATTCGCTCAAAGAAACGGTATTCTCGTTATCTGTAAATCTCATTTCATCCTTTAGATGTAAAAGGCATTCCGCCGGCATCCTAGAAGGATTCGCTACGCGTAAAAGGGCGTTAGCATTTGACGTTTATCAATTTTTCATTACAAATGTTACATAATTGTTTATAACATTTTTATTTTCTTCTGCCTCTCTCGAGAAGCAAAAATTCATCATATTTATTATTATTATAAGAAAATGCGATTTAAGTTTATTAGTTATTCTTTTACTATTTATTCTCGTTATATTATTGACGTTAATGAATTACTGGTTATTCCCTGTTCGTTGCAAGTATTCGCGAAAAAGTTGAGCGACAGGCTAAACGTGACTCGAACGCTGTAATTCAGCTCAAGTTCTTCATGAGCTCTCGCCGAAAAGATAATCGAGAAAATCGTGTTTCGGCTCTCCGCGTCAGTTCCCGGTTCTCCGTGTTTCGTAACCACTCACCCTTCTTTTTCTCCCTCGACTCCGCTGCCGTATTATTGAGGTAGGTTACGTCGACCCCGTTATTACGTTACGCGGCTGCCACGTGGGCGCGATAAAACAGGCAACGGCCAGGGGAGAAAATGGAGACTGCTGCAATACGATACACGCATTGCCGCGCGAAAAGTTATCGAAAAATATTAGTAAACTGCGCACCCCGAATTTTCACTTGGTAACTTTCCCCCGTGTTCGATATTGTGCCAACGAATAAAATTTCAGCATCGCGAATTTAATTTTAATATTAATTAAATTCCTCATTTCAATATTGCGCGAAAATTGACACATGATTTTACGTAATAAAATTCTTAAATTAATTAATCATTAATAAAATAATGAGTAATTTGTGACTCATTATTTCATTATTATACACCTGAAATCACGTGTAAATTTTTAAGATGAAACGACATAATTCTATGTCATCTCGAGTGTTTCAAGTAATTCAAAATATATAGCGTTATATTTAATAATCCTCTTTATTTTTCTCAGAAATTACATTTTTAGTTGTCAGACTTGTCTAAAAGATTAATCCAATTAAATTCACGAGTCTAATTAATTTCACAGATATTTTCGAGATGTACTTTCCAAAATTTCGTTTAACAAGATTAAAGATTAAAGATTTTTTTAATCGGAATACGTTTGTCTTGTTCTTCCTTATTAAATGGCACATTGGCACATTACATCATTCACTCATGAAGGATGCGGTAAACCTCATTCCAAAATGAATGTAAAGACCACTCGATGATGATGCGAATGGCGGTCAGTTCGCGGGACATTTGACGACAATTCACCAGTGAAAATGTGCATACTCTATCTCTGCAGTTTACATCAATTATAAGGTCTTTCTTCTAGGATGATTTAATAATGATTGTCTGAAAACGTTCGTTTACTTTTATCGATTTGTATATGTATACGCGTTTACACAACTTTTCGTAAGCAATATATTAAGCCAAATATATTTTATTAATCTCAAAAGGATATATATACATACAAGGATTGCAATGTAATGACAATGTTGTTTCTTTTCACACGTAAAAGCAATCGCAAAATTTAAAAAGATGATTTCTATTTTTTTTGTAATAATTTAGTAATTGATTATTTTTGATATAATAATTGAGCAATTGATACTTGCAATAATTTTTATATTATTAGTAGACAAAAAACTCCTTTACACGTTGACTAAATTTGTTTTTCAGAAACATCTCCATCCGAGAGAGATCGAATATTTTGGGAGCTCCTCTGATCGCGCCAGGTTTCTGGGGCACGACCTTGAATGCACAGAAACGCGTTAACGTTTTTCGCGTGTCCTCCGCAAATGTTATGCAGGTAAATAGCCGGGAATGGGGAGGAAGGGAGGAGAGGAGGATAGAGCGGGTGGCAGAATGAGATAAAAGCGCACGAGGCTGAGTGCGGAAAACACTCTTGTTGGTAACCAGGCGTGGAACAACGAATTCCGATGCGGAGTGATACACGCCTCTGGCCCGGCGCCAGGGGTTTACGCTGCAAAATTGCGCTTCCAACCCTCGCGAACCTTTCGGCACCCCTTTCGTACATACGTGCCCACACATGTACACGCATACACGTTCGCTTTCGTCACGTTCCATTTTCATTTCTCTTTCGCCGCGCCGTACCGTCTCCTCGATAATGCGCTTCGCCGCGATTTCGCGTTCGCCAACGCCTCGAAAACCGATTTTACGCATTTCGCGTATGATTGAAATTTTAATCAACTTATTAATTATCGCCTGGTCTCGAATTAATTAACCATCTTAATTAATACGCGAGACACGAATGCACATTAATGAATGAAATATTACGCCGAAAGGAGCCAAGCAGCAGTTGCAAGTTCATATAAATATGAGAAAAAGATTGAGATCTCTCGAGTCGCTAGTCGACCGAGAAACTTGTCCGTGTACGTATATATTTGCGTAGTCTTTCGTGTATTATTAATAGAGAAAGGGGCGGAGTAAAGCGATCCCACGTGGTCGTAAGCTTTCCCCTCGCTTTTAAGTTCCATGGTGCGCTATACGGAAACTACCCCATGTGCTGGCCCGCGAACGCCATTTTAAAAATGGTAGCTTGGAACGAGCGATATATGCAACTGCGGCGATATCGATCAATCATACCTTTTGCAACGAGCGATTTTCCCCCGGTGACGGGAAAATCGATGTACGAGTCACGTTCGGACCAAAGTCAGCAAATAAGTATCAAACGATTGCGAAAAGTAGAGCGTTCTCAAGCCTATTTACGAAACGTAATTTATCATTGTCGGGAAATATTTTATTGATAAATTACATGTGACAAATGCGCGGGTAGGGTAATTCTCATTTTTCCTATTCAATATTTGAAACGCACAAAAATATACAGGGTGTCCCATTTTAATGCCCCACCCCAAATAACTTTCTTATTTTTAATTTTAGAAAAAGATGTTTCAGACAAAAGTTGTATGGTTTCAAGGGGGACATAAGGTGGTGTCATTAGTTTGACCTTGAAGAGTCACATGAAGATTACGTGAAGGTCATTTTGAATTTCTTAAATGGAACACCCTATATATTTTTGCATATTCTTGTAGCTTATCTCGAGAGCTTTCCAAAACACTATAAATAAACATTTTTTCATCAAGTACTTTTCGAGTTATGAGGCTTGAAATCATTTCTTAATTTTACATAAACCATAAAATATCTTGTAAAATATTCATTTTTCAATTATCTTACCTTCATACTTTTATGTACAAAATAATGAGAGGAATCAATTGGTGTAAAGAAAACATACAGTTGTTTTTAAGAAAAAATATGAAATTGTTAATTGCAAATTACATATTTTTTCTTAAAAATAACTGTATGTTTTCTTTACACCAATTGATTTCTCTCATTATTTTGTACATAAAAGTATTAAGGTAAAATAATCGAAAAATAAATATTTTACAAGATATTTTATGGTTTATGTAAAATTAAGAAATGATTTCAAGCCTCATAACTCGAAAAGTACTTGATGAAAAAATGTTTATTTATAGTGTTTTGGAAAGCTCTCGAGATAAGCTACAAGAATATGCAAAAATATATAGGGTGTTCCATTTAAGAAATTCAAAATGACCTTCACGTAATCTTCATGTGACTCTTCAAGGTCAAACTAATGACACCACCTTATGTCCCCCTTGAAACCATACAACTTTTGTCTGAAACATCTTTTTCTAAAATTAAAAATAAGAAAGTTATTTGGGGTGGGGCATTAAAATGGGACACCCTGTATTTAATAATAATATTTTTGGTGCTCATCCGTTGCAGGGTGTTAAAATTTTTAATAATAATATACTCGTAGAAAGCGAACTTAATAATTTTCTATCGATACAAAACACTCGCCAAACGTTAACAAAATTTTGTCGAGGCTCTTGACACCTTTAATTCATACAATGAGCGGTGGTGGACGGTATTTTTTATCGGCCCACTTTTTCGTGTCAAAATATTACGCTGTTACGTTAGCCGGGCGTTATCAAGGGAGATTAAGTTGCCGATACGCGGAGAAAGGAGAAGGAGAGGTAGGTCGTGAAGGTAGAACGGGGATATGCTAATGCGAGAGAGGAACCCTTTCCGCCCGCGATCCCCTCCGACCTTCGTGGCTTGGAACAACACGCGTTCCTGACCCGCCGCTGTCACGACTTTAGAACAATGGCGTCGATATACATGTCTCATTTATATACACGTAGTCCTCGTACTTGACTGCGCGCGGTTCCGTATATCCAGGGAGAAGAGACGAGAGGGAGAATGAGAAAAAGAAGGAGATAGAGATCGGGGGCGATAAAATCCTGGGAATGGAAATCAATTCACGGAACGCGGATCAAGCATCGGCACGGAGGCACCGAGACGATACTAAAGAGCCCTTAATTGAAGGGCTTTCCGGAACGGAAACGCCATTATCCGATCGTTCTAGAAACGAATATAAGCGACATTATCCATTTAAGAAAATATTTAGTAAGATAACTATATATTACGTAAAATACATTGTGCTTTTGTCGCGTGTTTCGCCGCCTTTCCCAACAACTCGCATACATTTTCAGAACAATTATACTGTCTTATTGAAGATTAATCGAATTTTATATACATATAGACGGATCGATGTGCATTATTTTAATGTACTCTTATCACGAGAATCCTTCGCAGTCGTTCGTCGAATAATTAATCTTAAATTGAGAGCAGCGAAAAATTGTTAAACCCTCGTCAATTTCTCGACGCGCGAGAAAAGTAGGCGTAACGACTCGATGTTTCCGGGTCAGGAGACGGGACGTGCGACCGGATTATTAAAAGTCAAGTGAGAAGGGGAGAGGAGGCGAGCCGCGGGGCTGAAAACTTTGCGCGCCTTTACAGAACGTTTCTGGAACAAGGGACTCTTGAGCAAACTCGCTTCTCTCGTCGAACCGCCGACTTCTGAACTACTCATTCGACAGTTAACGAATCCCGAATACCGATGGCTCCGTACGAAACTTCCGGTTTGAATGTGTCACGCCTCCGTTTCTTCGACGACTCGCAATTTCACGTGACGCGAGTTCCTCGAATTCTCGAAAAATTTATTTTACGCGATTATCATTATTAGCGGAATTTTACCATCGACACGCCAGATCGATTTCGAGAATTTATCGCTCGCGACCATCTCGTTTCGTTGACGCATAGCTCCGCTTGGCCAAGGAAGCAGCGCAGGCTCGGTTCCAAGCCAGGCAAATGCATAAACAAAAGATGAAGCTGGGGGAAAGAGACTGCGGAATTGCGAGATAGAGAGCGGAGGCGCAAGAAAGAAATATGAAGAATGGAAAAACCAAGAAACGAAGACTCGTTTCGTCGGGCGGAGAAAAAAGAAGAGAGAAAGAGAGAGAGAGAGAGGGAAGCGGAAGGGAATGAGATTTGCGAGTCTTGAAAGAAAACGCGCTTCTCTCTTGAAGGTAGAAAAGAGCAGAGCCGCAAGCGGATACGCGAAAACGAAAAGGAAAACGGAGCCGCGGGAGGGAAGGCACTCGGGAGATGGAAAATGCAAGAAAAGCGTTCGCGAAAAGCGTAATGTTTTCCCTCTCTCTTTTTCTCCAGACAAATACTTAAACGAAGGAGAGACGCGCACGCAAAACCCGTGCGCGGGTATGAAAAATGGAAATTCGACGCTAGGAAATCGCCGATAGACATTAATGCAAACGGGGCCGGGTGAACGGGATGATCGAGCTTGATCGAAATGCGCTATCCGATCAACGCGACTCGGGCGAGAGCGTCTTCTAACAAGTACTCGCCGAGCGTTTTCTCCTACGGAATCATCGCGCGCGTCGTCCGAGGCGGCGTGTTACATTGGAAATGCTGTTGAGAAATGCGTTTCACATGAGAATGTTCGCTATCCGTGAAATTTGCGGAAGACTATCTATCGCTTCGGTGAAGGGAGATTTAAACAGAAAGTAAGAGAAAAAAAAGTATTCAACCAAAAGATAAAACAACAACCGTATTAAAATTCCGGTCATGCGTTTTACATACGTACGCATATATTGTATGTATGTAAAAGACAAAAAGAAAAATATTTCGGCGCGGCAAAAATAATATATTTTTTTATTCAAATATAAATGTGTAAAAAGAATGACAAAAATTAACCACACACTGAGAAAAATCGTTTGATTGTACCAAGACGTATATGCTTGAAGGCATTTTGGTTCAATCAAACAAGAATTTCTAGTTATCCTGATAAAACTCGATTTTTTATAACTAGAACGTTTCATAGATTTTACTAAAAGGATTTGGTTAGTATTTTCTGGTTGGATCTAGGACAATTTCTTGTTACATTAATTTCTTTGCTTGCAACTCTTAACTTAACTCGTTCAATATTTCCCATAAAATGTATATAAAAAACTAGTATTAACGTTAAATCCAAAGTATATTTTTTTTCTCTTACGAGCAGTAGTGCCAGAAAGAGGACGCTAGCTCTCTAATTGTGTGTGTTTGAACCGCATTTTTTTCTTGCATCACTGTTTATCAGTTTAATTTCTAACAAACTAATTTTAAAATAATTTATTCAATAATCTGGATTGAATTTATTCAATAATCTTGTTGGAATTTAAAATATTAAACATACTTTGAGATTAGAAGGAAAAAATTTTAGATTGGTGTTGGCAAGTTTAGTATTATTAACCATAAAATTTGGTAAATTTAACAGGAAGAAATTAATCAGATTCATCTAGTAATTCCAAGAATTCTAATTCGTCCATTTTCCAACAGACATACTGGTTGAATCTATCAGAATTCTAATTAATGCAACCAGATTTTTTCTCAGTGCATTGTTTATCAGTTTAATTTCTAACAAACTGAATT